TTGGCATTCTTGCCTTGTGCTAAGCCTTACGTTTTTTTAGCTCTGCATTGGCTGCAGGCACTACAGTGTGGAAACTGCCTTGGCAGTAAAAGGACATTTGTGGCCACAGTGAAGCTAGTCATTGAATAGCTGCTAAAATGTGCCTTATGGCTCAGGAAACACTTGTGCATGTAGGCCTGCTTCCTTTGCAAGGGCAGGCTTAGAAGGGCTGAAGCTGTCTGATAGCCCCTGCATCCTCCTTCATCCCCAGGATGAAGTTGGCTAAAAGCTTGGACACTTGCCCAGCAGGTGCTGTGGTTGAGCTGACCCTAGGAGGCCCTTGCTGAGCATGCTCCATGCTGCCTGTCACTCAAATGCCAGATGCTGCTGGACAGAAATGCCTTTTCCCTCATCCTCTCCATTCCCTTTGGGAATGTCCTGGGAACAGATGGTTTGATTCAAGTGCCTGCTGCTGGCTGGAGAGCACTAGTGTCTGGTGTTGATTTCCTTTGTTGTTTGAAGCTACATGGTGAGATGTCTCTGGAGCCTTCTGGCTCGTAGCTGGGGGGCATCAGTCAAGTGGGGAAAATGCTTGCAGTGGGCATTCTCTGTCCTCCAAGTGTCCAAGCTCTACTTGGCTCTGCAGCAGGACTGCTGGCATCTCTTGCCTGACTCATGGAGGCCCCATCAGGCCTGGTGGTGGCTGGCAGGCTGGCCTGTGGCCTAGTGGAAGTGTAGCTGCTAATAGTATACGGCTGGCTCACTTGGCAGGTGAACAGCATGCTCTAGCTTTGCACTGTGCAGAGCACTTGCAGCTTGTAGCTGCACAGTGGCTTTTTCAAAGGATTGTTTGGAAGCTGTCTCCTCTCTGCTGAGCAGCTGGCAACCAGGCCTTGCCTGGAAACTCAAGCTGGTTGAACTTGAATGATGGCCTGGCATGTGCAGGATTTCTTGAAGCAGCTGTGGTCACTTCCACTGTCATTATTTAGTGTTGGTACTCAGATCGTTTGGTTGTTCCGAGTGTGGTGGGGGGGGGGGGGGGGCATCTAAACAACCTCACCCTTAGCTAAGATAACAGTCAAGTTCACATTCTCTGCCAGGTGATGCAGAATCTAACCATAGTACCCCTGGCCCCTGCTTCAGCCATGATTCGTGTCGGGGTTGCTGCCTTCTAGTATGTCCAAAAGGAACTCTGCCCCTGTGGGGAAAAGGGGAACTTGCACAGAAAATAGAAAGAGGATGAAGTTGTCTTGCAGCTGAACTTCCTTTAGCATTTTATGATCTTGCTTCCTGTAGTCTAGAGAGCTTTCAAACTTTCCAGTGGTGCCATGGCTGTTAGTCCTATCTAATCCCTCATGGCATCACTCCTAGCAAAGGCTTAGTTGGTCAGAAGCCTGAGATCCTCTACAGCTCCAGGAATGTGTGCTAGCTCCTGTACTGTCCCAATGTGGACTTTGTCCCAAAGACTGGTCTCATCTGCTGGGTGGGTTCACCTGCAGTGCACTGTCCAGAATAAAATCAAGCAAAGATCCACTCTCTTCTTAAACAATAGTTTGCATATAAAAACCTGTTCAGCCATGCAGGGCAACCCTGCTGTCCTGGTCTCATGATGGCATCTGCCTTGTCATAGAGCTCTTGTCCATGCAGAACTGTGGTGATGCAGAAAACATCTGAGGCCAAGCTGACTGGATAGGAGGTTCATGAGTGACATGATCTTGTGAAGAAAGTGGCAGAAGCTGTAAAGACCTTGAGATATGACTGAGATTCTGTCTTCAGGGGGCCTTCAGTCAGTCTCCTAGGGAAGCTTGCTACTAGGCCAGGGAAGGAGTTAGTCTCCAAGTTGGTTGGTTTGGAGCCCTGATGACTCAACTGCTAAGTTTGTCTGGAAGATCCTGGAGTAGATCCTGCCATCCTGTCCTTTCCAATTAAGGATGGCTTGAGCTGCTTCCATTTCTGCTGATAGACATGCACTGTGTGTACTCTAATGTAGACGGAAGCAAGACATGGAACCTGTATGAACCTCCCACATGGAGGGGAATTCTCCAGCTTCTGCAGGACCACTATTTAAGCTGGGAGAAAGTGACTGAACTTGGCCTGCTGTTCCCGCTGTCTCAGTGATTTATAGGGCTAGCATCCGTTCTGGCTGCTTCAGTTCTTCTGCCTTGGTCTGGCAACGGCTGGATGGGCTTTGGACACTGGTACAAGATGGGGCTGAGCCCCTGGCAGTACCAATCATGCATCTGGACTCCTTTAAAAGTTTCAA